CTCTCCCGACTCCAGCAATGAGGATCAGGACAACACCTGCCTCACTGCGACCGCACCTTCACCTCACACATCGGCCTGGTCGGTCACTTGCGAATCCATCGCACAGAGACTGGCGAGCCAGTGCCTGGAGCACCAACCTACACACACCGCACTCGCCTCCACTGCCCACACTGCCCTCGCACTTTCAGGCATCGCATGTGCCTATTCGGACACATGCGCATCCACGATGACCTGCGGTAGACAACCGCCGGTTGCACCACACATCCACACACCCCCTACCTTCCTCCACCATCACCACCACACATCAACGCGCACCCAACTGCTACCTCCCACGCAAGTGGGAAGTGTGCATCTCGACTCGGTCCCCATGCGGCTTCGGCTGCACGGGTGACTTGAGTCCGAGACTATCCCGACAAGTCAAGCGTCGTGGATAGGAAGGTTGCTGATTGACGCCCGCTCTCGGCTCACGCAGTTTGTCGCGTTGTGTGTGTGTTGTGTGAAGTGGCGGACTGGTGGGCTGGGGACGGGCTGAAACATCACCTTCCACGGCCCTCTCACGCAAGTGAGAGACACGCCGTTCAACCCTCGTTGTGTGAAATCCTGGTGTTGTGTGTATGGGGGGCCAGGTCGTGCCATGGCGCGCGCAGTCATGGTCAGTCGACCATGACAGCCACCGCGCCCATTCCCCACTCCAGTCTGCTGACCGGCTCGGACAGCGGCTGGGGTGTGGGAGTGGGAAGGGAGAGTGAGGTCGACGACTCAGCGCACTTTCTCCTCACTATAAACAATCTGACGCGCTTGAAGCTATCACGGTGCGCTAAAAGCCGTTGCTTGGAAGGTTGTCAACTGACGGGGTAACTTGGACTTCCTCCTTGACTGGAGGCGGTCTGAGAGTCAGGCTGCAATGGCTCCTTTTTAATGTGGCCTTTATGGCACTCCCACCACAGTGTGGGATCCGAGCCAGGCGTTGGCGGCACGCCTAGGTGCGGCTTCGGTCGTGCCAGCCTCCAAATCTCTGTTGTTGGTTGAAATCCTGGTTACTGTTGTGTGGACCAGGGGATGTGGTGGAACGCCAAGGTGAGGATCCGTCCGAGCCATCCACCTGCGGCCTCCCTCGTCTCGGGTCTTCTGGACTCTGTCTTGACACCGGGCTCGGGCGATGGAGGAGGAGAGAGTGTAGGTAGATGCCACGCAAGTCTACTGGCACTATAAACCCCTGCGTAAGTCACCGTCCCTGCTCCCACTGCTGCTGTAACTGTGGGGCACACGATGGACATCATCGAAACCGATGGTCGAACTGTCATATTGCCTTATATGCCTATCTTCTCGATGAGGACCATACTTGATTATAAAAAACGTCGGCCTTAGGAGCGATCACTTCATTTGTACTATCTTTCCTTCCTTTAATTTTACTTATTTCCCCTCTTCTGTCCTATCCGGAGCTCCCTCATTTTGCTTTGTCAGTAATACTTAATCCGACTAGGGATGCACATTCTTACGCGACTTACTAAGGGCCGTTCTCACTTGTAGGGGGGATACATCCTGAACATCACCTTCAAGAATGCTTCAAGAGGTCTAAATGACGACAGTCTTTCCTAGGCGGGAACTATGTACAAGATAACATATTTTCCATCCTGAAGGGCAGCATTAGAATATTGTCGAAAGAGACCGAGGTCGTGTTCGCAATCTAAGAAGTAAATTCTGGAATATTCTTATGACCTTATTTCGTTTTCACCCAAGATATCAGTTCAGTGCTTTGGTACTGTGGTTTTTATTGTGCTTCGACGTCAAAATAATTTTATTCTGGTCGGTATTCTATTTGTGTCTGCACTAATGCCACTACCTATAGTTTCTGGCGAACCCTTTTAACAAGTTTCGTCCGTTTTCCGTCCGGTGGCTTCTGTATTACCGGTGTCGGATTCCGTTCGTGCGCCCACATAGAAGAAGGAGCTTCGCTGTAAGTTGGACTCCATATTTTGCGTGAACTTTGAAACTTTCTTTGAATTCTTCTTCTTCGGCTCTTGGCATTCTACGCAAATTTTGACATCGCTATTTGATGAAGCATTCAGCAAAGACGCAACATTTGGTTGTACACGCAGAGCGTTGCTGATGTCGGCAGAATCGAATTACAATGGCAAAGCGTATGCAACTTTTTGATCTTTCTTCCGAAAAAAGGCCCACTGATGCACTGAGCTCTGTAGACGCGATATCTTTTACCTCCACGCCACATTTTCGCATAGAATTTTTTATCCGTATGGGCTATTTCTTTCCTGGTATTTATGATGCGACTGGTATCCTTTTGCCCAGTAAACAGCGAACAGACTTTTTCAGATCTACCGTTTCCATCTTTAAGTTATTTGGCTCCTCTACAATTCCTGAAAGTTTTTTCGGAGACTTAAACACCCCGTACACTTATCGTCCTCGTCGACGATACGCATTAAGGTGGGCAGGCTTTTAGCCTACATAACAGGAGCCGAACTAATAGCGGCAAATCCACCGAGCCCAGTTGGTGACAGGGAATGCACAATTTCTAAAGGCTGAGAGCCTTTTTGCGTGTATGCTATTTTCTGACAGCAGTCCGCCGACCCACGGCAGAGTGGTCGCTAGCTTCGGTTGCCTACCTGGAGGTTGCAGGTTTAAGTCCTACCCACCGCGCCGAGACTTTGTCGCCTAAATATATCGTAGATATCTGTGTTTTCTATACTCCCGGATGTGTTACGAGATTGCATTTAATTAATAACCCTGCCAACACACGGCCCCGGGGGCCAGACTGGGCTAGACGAGGTCGGGCCCCGTCCAAATTTTGGTGAACTTTTATCCTTTCTAATGACGTCATTCTGCATT